GTAATCACAGCTACTCAGGAGGCTGAGGCGGGAGAATCTCTTGAACCCAGGAGGCAGAGGTTGCAGTGAGCCACGATCGCGGCACTGCACTCCAGCTTGAGCGACAGAGCAAGACTGACTCTAAATGAATAAATAAACAAAATTCTATTTTGGATGAGAGAAGACAGAAGAGGCTCCCCTCGATGCCCCCAAAAAAGTAAATCAGAAAATAATAGTAAACCCAGTAACAATAAATGTTACAAATAACATTTGTAGAGGTGGGTCACGGTTGTATGCTGTTTGTTTATTTATTTATTTATTTTTCAGGAAGCAGACTAGGATATTTATTTTTAAGAGATGAAGTCTAACTTTGTCACTCAGGCTGGAGTGCAATAGCAGTGATCATAGTTCACTTGAATCCCGGGCTCCAGGGATCCTCTCACAGCCTCCCAAGTAGGTGGTAGCACAGGCACATGTACCACTGTACACTACTAAGTTTTTGTATGTTTTTGTGGAGGTGGGGGTTTTGTGGGTTTTTTTGTTTGTTTTTGAGACAGAGTCTCACTCTGTCACCCAGGCTGGAATGCAGTGTCTCAATCTCGGCTAACCACAACCTCTACCTCCCAGGTTCAAGTGATTCTCCTGCTTCAGCTTCCCAAGTAGTTGGGACTATAGGCATGTGCCACCACACCCAGCTGATTTTTGTATTTTTAGCAGAGATGGGGTTTTGCCATGTTGGCCAGGCTGGTCCTGAACTCCTGACCTCAGGTGATCCACCCTCCTTGGCCTCCCAAAGTTCTGGGATTATAGGCTTGAGCCACTGCACCCGGCCGGAGATGGGGTTTAACCGTATTCCTGAACTCCTGGGCCCAAGCTGTCTACTTACCTCAGCCTCAGAAGTGCAGGCACTGCAAGTGTAAGCTACCACACCCAGCCTCTTGGTTATTTTCAAAAGTCACTCTTCAGCTTTTTGAAATACGGGTAATCCCCATAGGGTAGAAGTTATGCTGAGAGCCCATGAACAGGTCAGAAAAAGAGCATGTAGACCCTGGGTCAGCTGCTGCCCTAGAAGAATGGGGACCCCCTTCTGTAAGCTGTGTCAGAATCATCTGGCAGTGACAGGTGTCTGTAAAGAGCCTGCCTTTGTGGGACAGGAAGTACCACTGTGAAGCTACCTAGTGTTACGGATCTTTTGCTACTCCAGAGCCCTTACTTGGGCCCCACCTACAGAGGAACTCAGCACCACTCTTGACTGGATTGAGAAAAGCTGGTGGTTCTCTGTTTAAAGGAAAGGTACTATATTTGCTCTATTTTATGGTTTTGAAACTAGTGGGTTTCATTAAATGTCTAGCATTCTTCTCAAGGAACAAAATATGCAATTTCACTAGGGCTCTTGGAAAGTCTTCAAGATAGAATTGTATGTCTCCCCAAATTCTGTACTTTTTTTTTTTTTTTTTTCCAGAAAACATCCCAGAAAAGTGGACCCCGGAAGTCAAGCATTTCTGTCCCAATGTGCCCATCATCCTGGTTGGGAATAAGAAGGATCTTCGGAATGATGAGCACACAAGGCGGGAGCTAGCCAAGATGAAGCAGGCATGATCTGGGGCAGGGTTCTGTCTTGTAGTAGTCTTGAACTAGGGCCCCAAGGTTGGAGGTTTGGGGAGCCCAGCAGGAACTTTCACAGGCCAGGCTGTTTTAGAGGCACAGAAGCCCCTCTGTGGCCCTCTGGCCCTCAGTAATTGGGATCTACACAGAAGGATCCCTAAGATACAGATCACTAGTCCTGTGAGATGGAATGTCTTTTATGAGGTAGTGCTATGTCTGCAAGGACTACTGACCTGAGAATGAACCATTTCATCAATTGTCAGTAAGCAATGCTTATAGATAATAGGAACTTTCTTCCTTTTTTCTCCCCCTTTTTTGATTGAATCAAGTGATTTTCCTGCCTCAGCCTCTGAAGTCGCTGGGATTATAGGCGTGTGCCACCACACCTGGCTAATTTTTGTATTTTTAGTAGAGACAGGTTTCACCACGTTGGTCAGGCTGGTATTGAGCTCCTGACTTCCTGTGATCCTCCACCTCAGCCTCCCTAAGTGCTGGGATTACAGGGGTGAGCCACCACCCGGCCCTGTTAGACTCCATTGCCTTCTCCAGCTCTTACTTTGGTACATGTGAGGCCAAAGATAAATAAGTGGCAACTGGAAAGATAAGGAAATCATGAAGGCCGGGAGTCCCTATAGAAAGTGCTAATGCCTTCCTTCTCCCCTACCCCCAGTGTCTTAAAAAGTGATGATAGATGTGGCATCTTGGCCTCTCAGTAACCAGGTGGCTTAATGGCAGGGCTTCCTCACGCAGGAGAAGCATTGAGATCTTCAACCTAAGTTCTCTTACTGAGGTTTTTGTTTGAATGTCAAGGGTAGGCTCTATTTCCTTCCATGAGCATTCAGTCCTAGATTGGTAGCTTGAGCCATTTTGCCCTTGATTGGCTCCTTAACCTTCCAGGGTGCCTCTGATCTCTTTTCTTTTTCTACTTCCCAGAGAAGACCATGTTTAATAAGAGATTTTATGTTTGGTAGGGGGTAGTCACCATATGTCAGTTTAAAAATTTCATAACAGAGCACTCAAATCTGGGAGTTTAGCAGCTTTTAAAAGTATTTTAGGCTGGGCACAGTGGCTCACACCTGTAATCTCAGCACTTTGGGAGGCGACGATGGCAGATCACAAGGTCAGGAGTTCGAGACCAGTCTGGCCAAAATGGTGAAACCCATCTCTACTAAAAATACAAAAAAATTAGCCAGGTGTGGTGGCACATGCCTGTAGTCCCAGCTTCTTGGGAGGCTGAGTTAGGAGAATCGCTTGAACCCAGGAGGCAGAGGTTGCAGTGAGCTGAGATCCTGCCATTGCACTTCAGCCTGGGCAACAAGAACGACACTCCGTTTCAAAAAAAAAAAAAAAAGTCTTTCAGCTGAATTTGAGTACTCTTTACTTACCATATGTATGTCACACTATTAACTAAAAACACTATTTTTTCTCTTTGCTAGGAACCTGTGAAACCTGAAGAAGGAAGAGATATGGCAAACAGGATTGGCGCTTTTGGGTACATGGAGTGTTCAGCAAAGACCAAAGATGGAGTGAGAGAGGTTTTTGAAATGGCTACAAGAGCTGCTCTGCAAGCTAGACGTGGGAAGAAAAAATCTGGGTGCCTTGTCTTGTGAAACCTTGCTGCAAGCACAGCCTTTATGCGGTTCATTTTGAACAAGTGCTGTTTATTAATCTTAGTGTATGATTACTGGCCTTTTTCATTTATCTATAATTTACCTAAGATTACAAATCAGAAGTCATCTTGCTACCAGTATGTAGAAGCCAACTATGATTATTAATGATGTCCAACCTGTCTGGCCCACTAGGGTCCTTTTGACACCGCTCTAACATCCCTCCTCTGCACTCCCACCTGATACACCAGGCACTAATTCAAGGAATTTCTTAACTTCTTGCTTCTTTCTAGAAAGAGAAACAGTTGGTAACTTCTGTGAATTAGGCTGTAACTACTTTATAACTAACATGTCCTGCCTATCACCTGTCAGCTGCAAGGTACTCTGGTGAGTCACCACTTCAGGGTTTTACTCGTTAACAGATTTTGTTGGCATAGCTCTAGGGTGGGCAGTTTTTTGAAAATGGGCTGTACCAGAAAAGCCCAAGTCCACGCAGCTGTGGCAGTTACAGTTCTGTGGTTTCATGTTAGTTACCTTATAGTTACTGTGTAATTAGTGCCACTTAATGTATGTTACCAAAAATAAATATATCTACCCCAGACTAGATGTAGTATTTTTTTGTATAATTGGATTTCCTAATACTGATATTTGTCATCCCCAAAGAAAGTGTATTGGTTTTTTAAAAAAGAAAGTGTATTTGGAAATAAAGTCAGATGGAAAATTCATTTTTTAAATTCCCGTTTTTTCACTTTTTCTGATAAAAGATGGCCATCTTACCCCTTTTAGGCCCCACGTATCTCAGTACCCCTATCTGGAGCTGGGCTCAGTAATTAGAATTGGTTTCATTCCTGAGACAAATAGACACTTTGGAAGGTGGCATAACCTGTCTCACCTGGACTACAATGCCTGGCTCTAATTCACAGTGCTCTTTTCTCCTCACTGCATCCAGGTTCGCTCCCAGAGTAGCCACCAGTTCTCGTGGGTGGCACTGTCTCTCTTCCTTCCAGCTGACTAAACTTTTTTTCTGTACCGGTTAATTTTTCCAACTACTAATAGAATAAAGGCAGTTTTCTAAAATTCCTGTATCCTGGTGTTTGTGTCGCTCTCTCCAGGGCTGGTGGGCAGGAGGACGCAAGGACTTCCTGACCTAGCTCACCCTGGAGAGGTTTGTTAAGGGTGCAAAGGACTAGTTTGTGCCCCACCTCCCACCCACACAGCAACTAACCTGGTCCCCCCCAAGGAACATGGAAATGATTATCCTGAACCACATTATAGTTCAGATTAGGGGGTGGGGTGAATGCAGCCTATTGACGCCAGACCGGGAAGACTCGGGCTGTACTTCCTTGGCCCTGGCGAGCTGTTGTGCTCCACTTCAGGAGGCTGGGGCAGTCCTTTGTGGACTCATCCTGTTAGAAAACCTGCCCGAGGGCGGTGCCACTTTGGAGACCTAGAGGAGGAAGACCGGAGGCCTAGAACCCTCTGGCTGTGCCCTAGACTGCTGGTAACATGGCACAGTACGGAAGGGTTGTGTGCACGGGCAGCTCCTGCAGCTGCTGCTGCCACCGCCCACCAGCCTCCTATGCCGAACCCCACACCCTAATTGAGGAACCTCTGAGAAAGAATAGAGCCCTCGGGGGCCTGGGCCCCCGAAGTGTAACCCGGATCGCTGTCGCTTAGTTGCCTAGATCAGACCGGGCAAGCCCGCGGCTCCTCCCGTCTTGGGCGGAGCCCACGTCCCACTCGGCCGCACCCTCCCGCCTTTTCCCGGCGGAGGAGGGGTCGAGCCCGATGGGGAAGGCGGGGCACGGACGAGGCGGGACCCTCCGGTCCGGAAAACTGCTTGGGTCACGTGACACGCCGCAGACCAGTTAAAAGAGGCACCTCCTGGCCTCTCACTGCTGGTTCCGGGCGGTCCCTTAGCTTTCGGATTAGCTGCGCCATGTGTGCTGCTCGGCTAGCGGCGGCGGTGGCCGCCCAGTCGGTGTACGCCTTCTCGGCGCGACCGCTGGCCGGCGGGGAGCCTGTGAGCCTGGGTTCCCTGCGGGGCAAGGTGCTGCTTATCGAGAATGTGGCGTCCCTCTGAGGCACCACGGTCCGGGACTACACCCAGATGAACGAGCTGCAGCGGCGCCTCGGGCCCCGGGGCCTTGTGGTGCTCGGCTTCCCGTGCAACCAGTTTGGACATCAGGTGCGCCGGGCGGGGCGGGCGTGCAGTGGTGGCTCGGGGTGCTGGGGGCGCCGCAGGCCCGGTGCGCGGAGAGTCTGGCTACTGCTGTTTTCCCTTCTGGTGCTTGTAGATGCTGGAATGACGGTCCGCCCTTGGGATTGCGCTTGGAGGGCAAAGTCCCGGTGACTCACAGAAACACTTCCTTGTTTGCGGTTAGAAAGTTTCCCTCTCCCTCTCGATCCCGGCTCCCAGCTGCCCTTCTCTCCCGTAGGAGAACGCCAAGAACGAAGAGATTTTGAATTCCCTCAAGTATGTCCGACCTGGTGGTGGGTTCGAGCCCAACTTCATGCTCTTCGAGAAGTGCGAGGTGAATGGTGCGGGGTCGCACCCTCTCTTCGCCTTCCTTCGGGAGGCCCTGCCAGCGCCCAGCGACGATGCCACTGCACTCATGACAGACCCCAAGCTCATCACCTGGTCTCCGGTATGCCGAAACGATGTTGCATGGAACTTTGAGAAGTTCCTGGTGGGCCCTGACGGTATTCCTGTGCGCAGGTACAGTCGCCGCTTCCAGACCATTGACATCGAGCCTGACATCGAAGCCCTGCTGTCCCAAGGGCCCAGCTGTGCCTAGGGCGCCCCTCCTACCCCAGCTGCCTGGCAGTTGCAGCACTGCTCTCTGGGGGATTTTCATCTATGAGGGTGTTTCCTCTAAACCTACAAGGAGGAACACCTGATCTTCCAGAAAATACCCCCTAGAGAATGGGCACTGGTCCTGTCCATCCCAGTCTCTGCCAGACCAAGGCGAGTTTCCCCACTAATAAAGTGCCAAGTGTTAGCAGAACTGTGTGTATGTCCTGTGTCACTGCCAACTGGGGATACTTTTTCTAACCTCATTGTCATAGTGGTGGGAACTTAACAGTCTTCCCCTTATCCTAGCCAAGTTTGAACTTTGTCCTTTGGTCTGCAGTGTGTAGGATCCACTCTTTACTTTGTGGGAAATCTGGCTTCTGGCCTGCATTTCTGCCCTTGCCAGAACATGGAATAGGGCCATCCCAAGGACCAGTTAAAACAAAGTCCTTCAAAAAGAAGACACAAGGCAGAGGTTGACTGGCTAACTCAAATAGTAGGCTTCTCAGTATTTGCTCCACACTGAAATGACCACAAGATAACATGAGCCCCCACTCACATTCGGAGTCTATGGCCTCTCCTAGTGTTAGGCTCACACAAACCCATTTTACACAGTTGGAAGCTCATGCAAAGTTATAAATTCTCTGTTACTTGGCTAGATCTTTCCATACTGCTACCAAGTGCTTGTATCTGCTGTGAAGCTGTTCTTAAAAGTTTCTGTCTCATGTATTCAAGAGTGAGAAGACTACAATGTAATTGGCCTTTCTGAATCTGCTCTGCCCAACACGTAGGTGCAATTGCACATTCATGCCCAGGATAAGGGCTTGTCTTTGAAGCCAGCTTCTGCTTCTCAGGCACCACTCAGGTCCTGCCTATCCATCTGTTTACCCTGCTGCCAGTAATCGAATTTCAAGACAGATTTGGAGCCATTTCATACCACAGGGCAGGGAACTGCAGGGCCTGGGTGTAGCTTCTGCTTGGGCAGGCAGGTAAGAGACGTGGAAGTGCTGTTCACACAACTGAATGTGGGCCAGAGGTTCTGGAGTTCCAGCATTTGTGTTCAGATTGGTGACTCAAGGCCCTTCTTATGTCTGAACCAACTCTCAAGGACCTTCCTCTTGCCCTAAGTAGGGATCTGTGCTGCTGCCCTACTTTGCATGCCCTTAGGTCACTAAGGATTATAGGGCCTTCTGCACCTGCTCTGGCTCCCTCTCCTCCCTCAGAACTCCTGAACAGTCCCACCTCCCTTTGGTTACAAGACCTCTTCACCTCAGCCTTTGAGTCCACCTTGAGGTAACCCAGGCAGAACTGTCAGCTTCCCCTTTGGACCACACTACCTGTGTTGTTCCTTGGAACTCTCAGGAGTCACGCTCTGTCGCTCAGGCTAGAGTGCAGTGGCATGATCTCAGTTTACAGTAGCCTCTGCCTCCCAAGTTTAAGCGATTCTCCTGCCTCAGCCTCCCTAGTGGCTGGGATTATAGGTGCCCGCCACCATGTAAGACACTAGTTTTTGTATCTTTAGTAGAGATGGGGTTTCGCCATGTTGGCCAAGCTGATCTTGAACCCCTGACCTCAGGTGTTCTACCCACCTAGGCCTTGCAAAGTTCTGGGATTACAGGCGTGAGCCACTATGCCCTGCCAGAGTGGAATGTTTTTATATTAATAGACCAATATATATGCTGGGCCCTTTGATGGCTAGCCCCAGTCCCCCTCCTAGACTGTTAACCTCTGGGGGGGCAGATTAGTCATTCACAGATGGAATGAAGACTCCTGAGTGGCTGGTTGCAATGGCTCACGCCTATAATCCCAGCACTTTATAATCCCAAATAATCTGAGGTGGGCAGATTACTTAAGGCTAAGAGTTGGAGACCAGCCTGACCAACATCGTGAAACCCCCATCTCTACTAAAAAACTAGCCAGGCATGGTGGTGGGTGCCGGTAATCCCAGCTACTCAAGAGGCTGAGGCAGGAGAATTTGCTTGAACCCGAGAAGCTGAGGTCGCATGAGCCAAGATCACGCCACTGCACTCCAGCCTGGGTAACAGTGAGACTCGATCTCAAAAAAAAAAGTGACAGACTGAAAAGAGGTCAAGCAGCAGCTGGTTAAGGAATAAACAGATGGCAGGTGGGCAGGCAGGGAGTATAGTGTGTGAGAGCCTGAGATGGGAAGGTGGCATTATTAACTGAGTCGGCAACAGGAGGAGCAGGTTTTGGGGCTAGGTGCTGAATTAGAATGTCTAGGGACCTAGGGTCCTACTCAGTGTTCTACGAGCTGGACCTGTGAGAAGAGACATCCCACTTCAAGTCTCCCCTTTCCTATACAGAGTCAGTGTGGGCTAGGCCACACTCTGTTTAGGCTACCAGGATGGGAACCCAGAACTTTTCAAACACATTCAAACTTCTTCCCTCCAAGATGCCTGGTGATTTTGGTGATTTGCCCCCCCCCCCCCCCCCCCCCCCCCCCCGCCTTCAGTTTATGCCTTGGGCTACCAGTAAAGGGAACTTTTTTTTGGTTTCCCCTGATAATTACTCAGTTTCAGTAAAGGGACCTTCTGAACTCCTAGTATGCCTGATCCTGGCTGGGGAATATTCCTCCTCAAACTTCAAGCTGTCTACCTCCTCGCTCAACTTGAAGTCCTTTTTTTTTTTTTTTTTTTTTTGAGAGGGAGTCTCACTCTGTTGCCTAGGCTGGAGTGCAGTGGCGCAATCTCAGCTCACTGCAGCCTCCACCTCCTAGGTTCAAGCGATTCTCTAGCCTCAGCCTCCCAAGTACCTGGGACTACAGGCGCCTGCCACCAGGCCCAGCTAATCTTCTTGTATTTTTAGTGGTCAGTCCTTTCTCTTCTCCAGGAAGATTCAGAGTAAAGCTAGTTAAAACTTCACTATCAGGTGGGCAAGGTGGTTCACACCTGTAATCCCTGCACAAGGGCGGATCACCTGGGGTTGGGGGTTCAAGACCAGCTTGACCAACATGGAGAAACCCTGTCTCTACTAAAAATACAAAATTAGGCGTGGTGGCACATGCCTGTAATCCCAGCTACTCAGTAGCCTGAGGGAGAATCGCTTGAACCTGGGAGGCAGAGGTTGCAGTGAGCCAAGATTGCACCATTGCACTCCAGTGTGGGCAACAGGAGTGAAACTCCGTCTCCAAAAAAAGAAAAAAGACTTCACTATCTTCCCCCAACACACACACACACACACACACACACTCTCACATATACACATCCATGCAACTGCTATTGCTCTGATTGGTACCCACCCCACTCCCTTGTGAATCAACAGCTCAAATGAACAAGTTGAAGAGTAAAATGACATTCAGCCTGTGTGAAGGCCTGGCTTTAGGCAGAAATGGCTGCGGAGCATTTTTTGCACAGAAAACACATACAGCATTTAGGCCACTTCCTAGGTTCAGAAACTTCGATTTTAGCAGTTCTTGCAGAAGGGCTACTTTGGGGTTTTGTTTTTTTTTTTCAAACATTAAATCTGATAAAATTAGGTCAGGCATTTCTTGCACAATTAGCAGTTGATCAGATGACTTCCTTAGTCTGACTCAATGTAGTCCTATAAACAACATTTAAAACAAGTTTATTTTCAGGCTGGGTCCAGTGGCTCATGCCTATAATCCAAGCACTTTGGGAGACTAAGGTGGGCAGATTGTTTCAGCTCAGGAATTTGAAAACAGCTTGGGCAACATGGCGAGACCCTGTTTCTACAAAAAATGTACTGGCTGGGTGTGGTGACTCACACCTGTAATCTCAACACTTGGGGAGGCTGAGGCGGGTGGATTACGAGGTCAGAGGTTTGAGACCAGCCTGGCCAATAGGGTGAAAACCCATCTCTACTAAAAATACAAAAAGCCAGGCATGGCACACCCCTGTAGTACCAGCTGCTCGGGAGGCTGAGGCAGGAGAATCACCCAGACACTCCAGCCTAGGTGACAAAGCAAGACTCTGTCTCAAAATAAATAAATAAATAAATAAAGCGAAGATTGGTGGCACATGACTGTGGTCCCAGCTACTTACTTGGGCAGCTGAGGCAGGAGGATTGCTTGAGCCCAGGAGGTTGAGGCTGCAGTGAGCCATGACTGTGCCAGTGTACACCAGCCTGGGAGACAGAGTAAGACCCTGTCTCAAAATAAATAAAACAAGTTTATTTTCAAAAAAGCATGCCTGGTATGATAAATCTAATAAATCTCTTACATTTAACTTTTGGATGAGATAGAGTAAAAAATACTGGCTAAAGATTTCTCCAAGGGGCCAGGCATGGTTGCATGTACCTGTAGTCCTATCTACTCAGGAGGCTGAGGTAGCAGGATCACTTGAGCCCAGACAGTCAAGGTTGCAATGAGCTGAGATTGTGCTGCTCCACTCCAGCCTGTGTGACTCTAGCCTAAGATGTCTCAAAACAAAGAAATAACAACAAAAAAAACCCCAGCCTGGCCAACACAGTCAAACCTTGTCTCTACAAAAAAATACAAAAATTAGCTGAATGTGAGGAGGGCAGATCATTTGAGGTAAGGAGTCCGAGACCAGCCTGGCCAACATGGTGAAACCCCAGCTCTACTAAGAATACAAAAATTAGCTGGGCATGGTGGTACACTCCTGTAATCCTAGCTACTTGGGAGGCTGAGGCAGGAAAATTGCTTGAACCTGGGAAATGAAGGTTGCAGAAGCCAAGATTGTGCCACTGTACTCCAGCCTAGGTGACAGAATGAGACTCCATTATCAAAAACAAAATTAGCAGCCGGGCGCGGTGGCTCAAGCCTGTAATCCCAGCACTTTGGGAGGCCGAGGCGGGTGGATCACGAGGTCAAGAGATCGAGACCATCCTGGTCAACAAGGTGAAACCCCGTCTCTACTAAAAATACAAAAATTAGCTGGGCATGGTGGTGCGCGCCTGTAGTCCCAGCTACTCGGGAGGCTGAGGCAGGAGAATTGCTTGAACCCAGAAGGCGGAGGTTGCAGTGAGCCAAGATCGTGCCACTGCCCTCCAGCCTGGGCGACAGAGTGAGACCCTGTCTCAAAAAAAAAAAAAAAAAAATTTTCTCAAGAAAACACAGCACAGGTTTGTAAGAGCAAGCCATGATCCCTATCAGAGTACTCTGGATTGACGTGTTTTTGTTATTGCACTCAAAAAATAAGTGGGGAGAGTATGCATTCACATACAGGTGTGACACACCTGGGAGGGCACTAAAAGTCCAGTTCCAGCCAGCCACAGAAATTAATGGGTATCTGCCTCACATCAGACAATGATTGGGAGCTGAGGGGCACAAATGACAGAAGTCCTTGTCCAAGGAATGAGGTCAAATAGGCCTTGGCCCTGAAATGGCATAATTCTCACTTCCTCTCAGAGGCTGTGTACAGCAGGTCAGAGACATGCTGGTCTCTACTCAACTGCCATTCCCAAGTCCTTCCTCTTGGCTGGCTGGCAGAATCTACTTTCCTGCTGTAAAGGTAGGGGCAGGTGACCTAATCTTGGCTGCAGAGAGACGCAGAGGCTCCTGGGAATGCTCCCATGATCCCCAGGAACAGGAGAAGGGAATGTTCCTCTCTCCCTTCTCACTGGTGGGTGTTGTTGAGAGTACCTCGAATTCTGGGAGCAAGGTAGCCACCTTGGAGCTTTGAAGGCAAAGAACTAGAAGGCCCAAGAGAAACAAACTGATATCCTTCAGACTTGACCTTCCCAAGAACTCAACTCCAGACATACCATGTGAAAAAGCAAGAACCACTAAATAGGTGGGCCAGTTGCTGCTGGAGATTCTGTTAGTTGCATCTAGAAGCACTGAGACTGACATGACATGACAGTGGTGTGCTAGGCAGGCTGCTGGGCAAGCTGTTGCCCCTAACTGGCTGGCAGAATGTTTTCCTAGCCAGCCTTACCTGTTGTAAAGGTAAGGGCAGGTGACCTGATCTTGGCTGTGAAGAGATGCAGAGGCTCCTGGAAGACCCAGGAGATCCACTCTTAGTGCCCCTCACAAGTCCAGTGTAGTTGTGGCCCTCCAGACCAGTATAGGAGACCACAAAGCAAGACCACTTAATCCAAATTCCTAGAGGCCAGGAGCACAAGTAGCCTACCCTCAGTGGTGTCCTACAGTTCTGAAGACCGTGTGGCTTCATAGGGAGGCAAGGGAAGGGAATCTGAATTTTCCTGCAGCAGAAGCACCCAGGTCTCCTTTGTCTCCAGCATGTGACTGTGTGTGTGTGTGAATCTGAAGTTCTGGTCTCAGGCTGGGTGTGGTGGCTCATGCCTATAATCCCAGCACTTTGGGAGGCTGAGTGGGGTGGATCACCTGAGGTCAGGAGTTCAAGACCAGACAGGTCAACACAGCAAAACTACATCTCTTTTTCTCTTTCTTTTTGAGACAGAGTTTCACTCATGTTGTCTGGGCTGGTGTGTGATGGTATGATCTCTACTCACTGCAACCTCCACCTCCTAGGTTCAAGTGATTCTCCTGTCTCAGTCTCCCGAGTAGCTGGGATTATAGTTGCCTGCCACAACGTCTGGCTCATTTTTTGTATTTTTGGTAGAGACGGAGTTTCACAATGTTGGCCGGGCTGGTCTCAAACTCCTGATCTCAGGTGATCCACCCACCTCAGCCTCCCAAAGTGCTGGGATTACAGGTGTGAACCACTGTGCCTGGCTCAGCGAAACCATGTCTCTACAAAAAATACAAACAAAATTAGCCTGGTGTGGTAGCACAGGCCTGTAGTCCCATCTACTGGGGAGGCTGAGGCATGAGAATTGCTTGAACCTGGGAGGTGGAGGTTGCAGTGAGCCCAGATCATGCCACTGTACTCCAACGTGAGACTTTGTCGCAAAAAAATAAAAATAAAAATAAAGCCAGGTGCAGTGGCTCACGCCTGTAATCCCAGCACTTTGGGAGGCCGAGGTGGGTGGATCACGAGGTCAAGAGATCAAGACCATCCTGGTCAACATGGTGAAACCCCGTCTCTACTAAAAATACAAAAAATTAGCTGGGCAAGGTGGTGCGTGCCTGTAATCCCAGCTACTCAGGAGGCTGAGGCAGGAGAATTGCCTGAACCCAGGAGGTGGAGGTTGCGGTGAGCTGAGATCTCGCCATTGCACTCCAGCCTGGGTAACAAGAGGGAAACTCTGTCTCAAAAATAAAATAAATAAATATAAATAAATAAAGTCAGGTCGTATCCAGTGGCTCACACCTATAATCCCAGCACTTTGGGAGGCCGAGGTGGGTGGATCACCTGAGGTCAGGAGTTCAAGACCAGCCTGGCCAACATGATGAAATCCCGTCTCTACTAATAATACAAAAAAAATTAGCTGGGCATGGTGGCAGGCACCTGAAGTCTCAGCTACTTGGGAGGCTGAGGCAGGAGAACTGCTTGAACTTGGGAAACAGAGGTTGCAGTGAGCCAAGATTGTGCCATTCATTGTACTCCAACCTGGGCAACAAGAGTGAAACTCGGTCTCAAAAAAATTAAAAAAAATAAATAATAAAGTCCTGGTCTCCTGAGCATCCTTTGTGGGCCGCATCATATACCCTCAAAGGCAAAAGGGAATATTAAGGATGCCTTTGCTTTCTACACTAGTTGCTTAAGTTTCCTTCCCAGAGAAGTATCTGCAAGCATGACTCTCTATATTCTTGTGACACTTTTGTCACGTAACACACAATACTGTATTACATATGTAACGATCCTCCATCCCTAACCACACTGTGAACCCCTGGAGGGTAGGGACCATGAGCACATAATAGATACTCAAGTACTGTTAGTCCAGTGAAGAAATATAGCTGGATAATTCTTTCTTTCATTTAACCAAGAAATACCTATTGAGAATTTGCATTGTGCAGAGTGCAAATGATACGTGCAAATTAACATCTAAATACCGGTTGATAGTTAAGACTGTGATGGTAACAGAAGAGGAAGATGACACTGGTACCACATGGGCCAGGCTGCCACACCGTCTTTGCCCAAAGAGGGCTGGCCACCAACACAGTGGCATAACCAGAATGGAATCTGTCCATTCGCACAGCTCCCACTGTAAAAAAAAAGATCCCACTTCCTCTCTGTGAGACTTGACTTGTTCAGTTTTTTGCCTTGCTTATCTTCCACAGTAACCTAATCCTTATATAACAGAGGTTAGAAATCACTGAGAAGACGTTTAATTCTTCTAAAGTGTATTTCTAGAGTCTTTTTCTTTTCACAGTCCCCTGGGCAGGTTAAGGAGGCACAGGTGAGAAGGAACCAAAAATATTTCTCCCCTGCTGCCACTTCCAATTAAAGTATGTCCAATATTTGTGAATACTGCCATGTGTGCTCTGTTAGTGCTGATCAAGTGAGGACCATGGGTAATTGGGAGAAGTAAGTCCTGTCAGGTGTAAAGAAAGCTGTAGTAGGAGCTGAGACAAAAACCTTATGATTTGGAATCAAATAAAGCTTAAAGTTTACACACCCAGACATTATGAATCTCTTTTGGGACAGTTTCCCTCTTGTTGCCCAGGCTGGAGTACAGTGGCACATCTTGGCTCACTGCAACCTCCACCTCCTGGGTTCAAGCAATTCTCCTGCCTCAGCCTCCCAAGTAGCTGGGACTACAGGCATGCGCCACCATGGCCAGCTAATTTTGTATTCTCAGTAGAGACAGGGTTTTACCATGTTGGTCAGGCTGGTCTCGAACTCCTGACCTCAGGTGATCTACCCACCTCAGCCTCTCAAAGTGCTGAGATTACAGGTGTGAGCCACTGCACCAGGCCCAACATTATGAATCTTTAATTAGACATCACAGTCCAAGATCAAGCAGTATGTGACCAATAAGCCAGGTTTTCCTCTAGTTCCCTTCCTACTTTCTCTTCTGTTCTTGTAGCCCAAGGTCCTCTGGTAATGGGTGGATTGTCCACTTCTGGGATCTTGTTGTCCTACTGGACCTATAATTCTCTCTAGGATAAAGTGGCTCAACATAGAACACAGCCCTGAAGCCAAGATGTTTCCTGAGCTGAATCACTAACCCTTGTCATTTCCTCCCAAGTCCCTAGTTCCCTACCACAACAGGAACAGGCAGGCAGATGTTCATTGTTTCCAGTTCTCTTTTTTGTTTTATTTTTGAGACACCCAAGCTGGGTGTCACCCAGCTCTATCACCCAAGCTGGACT